TATGAATGCACTCAGCAGAGCTGGTCCAGAATAACTTTCTGTGCAACTCAGCTGCAAAACAGACAATATTCCCTAATGGGAAACGCACACTAGAAACAACTTTCCAGAAATAACATAGCCAGCAAAGATGTATTAAGGAAAAATGAACTGTAAGCAATAACCAGCCAATGCTTGGCAATCTTCATCCCCGTTAAAACATTCATTTTCTCTCCGTGTTCCCCCCCCCCCCCTTAAATGCCCCAGTGACAAATAAATTATGAGCATTACAGCTAATTTATTACTCAGCACTGCTGAGAACAGAAAGGAAAAAAAAAAAATACAGTGATATTTTAAAGCACATTCTTATTCTAGGAAAATAAATACTTGAATAAAAAACAATAAATCAGTACGTTCAGTGGGGAAAAAAATGCTCTTGCAGCTAAGCCCCTGGGGTGAAGGACCCGAAACTAGAATTCCTTGCTGTGTCAGGGCTGAAGCCACTTGGACTCTGCTGCTCTCAACCAAGCAAAAGTTTGCTTGATACCTTCAGCAACAGAATACGGAATCACACTTAATCCCAGCTTCATCCCCCTCACCTGCAGAACACCCTCACCCAGGCCATCCAGCCTGCAGGCACTCAGGGACAAAGGCACTCCCTGGGTACCACTGCACAGCAGCATGCACAAGAGGGAGCCTTCCAGCACTGCAGTGCTGCTGTGATAAGCAAGCCTCAATGGCATCCTCCATGTGGACACTGCCATTGACCTCAAGGCCAGCTGGACAGGGTCACTACAGCACTTGGACCTCAGAGGAGAACAGTGCTGTATTTGCCACATTTAACGTGGGGAGGAGGGGCTGCACACCAAAATGACTTTAAAACCCCAGCTCCAAATAGCGCTCTTAACTCCATCTCACAGGACATTATTTGTGTCTGTTCCAGCATGAGTCCTTCGATGATTGATGTCTGTTTTTATCTTTCATCCTACTTCTTCCTCAATTTGGTATTTCAAAGTCTTCATTAACAATAGTAATAAAGACCCAAAAGAAGGAGCACGTCCCTTAATGGTCTGATTTTTGCACGGTCCTGTGCAGAGCCAGCAGTTGGGCTCAATGATACGTAGGGTCCCTTCCAACTCCAAATATTCCATGTTTCTATAGTATCACACACCACATCAGTACCCACAATCTCACCTGGACTTACACAGTACTGCTTTTACTGCAGATACATTGGGATGGCTTTTGCAAGCTGTAGCCGAGCGCTGCAGCACAGGCAAAGCTCTTGCCACAAAGTTAAGCACAGCTCCAAAGTTTCCATTCAGGAAAACAAGAAACAATTTGGCATTCATTCTCACGCAAACACCAATGCACCCTCCTGAGGAAAGACTAATTATTTTCCTTTCCATCTCCTGCTCAGGCCAGTCATCCCCTACCACTCGATATAACACGTGAATAGCTACATTCAGAGCTGCAGCAAACAGAGACATCTCAGTAGAGCTCTGTAAGAACAGCCATACCCAGAGCACACCAAGGGACTGCTTCCCAATGCACTTCCCATATGCACGCCCTCCATCTAAAGAAGCCTGTGACTTTGGCAGATGTTGGGTGCTCGCATCTAGGTCAGTTCAAACCAGAGTGATCTGAGGCTAAAGGACAGAGGGAGAGAAAATTAAATTGCTCTCCTGCTCCACAAACCGTGGCCGGCAAACCGAGAGCCCTTCACCTTCACCAGTGTGATTTCACCACTGGCCGGGGCAGAAGCCTTTGACAGGCAGGGTGACAAAACACCCCAACGACAAACCATCAAGAGCACAGGAAGCATCGGTACCAATTAAAATACTCCAAAATATAACACTTGCAGGAATTCAAGGAGTGGAGGGGGAGCTGCTGCCGAGGTATGCGAATCAGCATGATGAAAAGCCCCACGGCTGCACAGCCGGCACGCTGCTGCACTGCCTGAAAGGCACAGGGCTGTAGAATGCATGTTCCCATCTCTCTCTCTCCTCGTGCCATCTGCACCAGCTAACGCACAGTTCTTCCATCCGCAGACCTCAGCTCCCAGAGAGCAACCCAGGGGCTGGAAATCATCCAGGCTTTCAGAAGTTGCTGCTAAACCCTGAGTAACTTCTGCAGCAGGAATGCCCGCAGCCTACAAGCAGCGCTTTGCCCAGCACCGCTGCAGTTGCTGGGAAATGCAAGTTTCCAAAAGCAAGCAGGAGTAATGAAATAAAGCCAAGCAAATGCACACTCAAAACCTTACAGGAATATGGAAATAACAGGGTATATTCAACAACCCTAGAAATTAAGGCAGAAGCACAGGCGTGCATTTACATAAGCATGGTACGGCTCCAAGTCAGTTTGGAACGCGTGCATTTTGCAGGCAGCAAGAGCAATACATTCTGGAACGTGATCTTGATCAAATATTCCCTAAAACTTCACAGGAAGAACCTCAGAGACACCACACTAATTAAACATAGGCCACCACTATTGGCATCCTGCGGTATTTTCACTGCAGAGTTCTGTGGGAAAAAGAATTGGACTGTATAGATTTTTATCAGCATTTATTATTTATAAAGCCCTGTTGGCAAGCACGATGTTTTATGAACAAATAAAAGTGAACGATCTCTGCTTCAAAACCACATAATGAATGTATACTTTGCACATACACTCGAGCAGGCACCGCTAGTTCACTGTGCAGGGAAAACAAGGGGAAAAAAAAAAAAGTTTCTGTATCTCCAAAAAGATTAAGAAGTGACAGCACTCCTTTTTACATCTACCAGCACAAAAAGGCAAAGTCAAAACTGAGCTTTCCGACCACTCCTAACCAGCCAAGCCCATCTCATTTCCTTACCACGCAGAGGTGTTGCCCCCATGGTCTCCTCATGCAAAGCCAGGCAGATAGAAGTGAGGAAATCCACTTGTCGCCATACAAGGCAAAAAGAGAAAGGTTTCTCTTCCTGAGTTGAATAACCAGGGAACACAATAACCAGGGAAAGCTACTCATGGGGCCAAGCACAGTATGAACATGGAGCTCAGTCACCACTGACAAGCTAAAATTAGTAGCTTATCCAACTGCCCAGAACTACACACTGTGAATGCCTCCCCAGCGTCTCCCTATTTGTCTTTCTGGTTGCTCTCCCGTTGGTCTCACCTGTTAATTTGTCCCTCGGGGAGCAGCCACACCAAGTCCAGCAGTGAATTAATTTGCTCCTGAGCAACTTCACAGTGTTCAGCTGTGCTTGGTCCTGAGACAGCACCTGCGAGCAGCACCTGGCCTCACAGGTCTGCAGAAGTGATTAGGTCCCCCAAGCCTTCACTATGCATTGCTCCCATCCTGCTTCTGCTCCCCCACGACACCTGTAAGTGCAGCACTCACCCCAATTCACCCTCCAAAGATAATTCCACATTTGCATCTGTTCACTGTACTGAGAACTGCGTGGTATTTGCAATGACGGATGATGAATTATACAGGGAACTGAGGAACACTTGCACAGTGCAGCTGGGCCACTGCTTACGGACGCTAGTGACTGTTTGGAGCTCCTTTTTTATTTCTGCCACTGACCAGCTGCCTGGCTGGCATCAGGGCACAATGTCAGCTTGGTGAGGATGTACTTCACTGCCTGAGGACAGCAGCACCTGGGCAGTTAACCATCAGAGGAAGGAGCCGAGGCTCTGGCAGCATGTTTTCCAAAATGTTCCAACATGCAGCAAGTGCACAACTTCAGTGCAAAGCACAGCCTGAGAGACGGGAGAAACAGAACAAGAACTGCAGGGCTGCAAACAGAGTGCAATGCAAAGAAGTTTGGGGAAAACGCCACGTTCAAGACTGATCTGCTGTTCCTGCACAGCAGGTATTCACACACCAGCACAGCGTGTCCACACACACACATACATATTTCCAGCATCCTGGTGCCCGCTGGGTGACATCACCTCCACGGGTCACTCCTTGGCCATCAGTTGGACGAAGGATTATCCCTGGTTCATTCAGGTTGACAGCTCACTTGGCAATGAGCTCGGTGGTAACAACATACTGGCACACTAAGGTGCTGCTCACATGAGAGAGAATTACTGAATTTATCTTAACACAATTCCTTTGGAATTACAGGTACATCCCAAACTAAACTGATGTGCTTTGTAATATAGAGATGACTGCAAATTTCCATGCCATGTTTATGAATAGCGAATATTAACCACATTCATTTTAGCCACATACCTTGAAAAATTACAGATCACACTGAGTACAAATTTACATAATTAGATGAGCCTGAGAGAAGCAGCGCTAAGTACCAAATACAAGCACAGAATGCAGAGCTCTTACACTTTATAATATATTACGTGTACAGCCTCAAAAAGCCTTAAAGATTACAACTACATTTCTTTTCCATGGAAACTATAATTCTCAAATCCAGGACGCTATTTTGAGAAATTTGATTCAACTCTCCACTTGCATCTGCTGGAAGCACAGTCCTTTGCGTGCTCGGAGGTATGGGCTCAGCCTCACGGACACCTTCTCAACTCTTTCCTACGGTCCTGCTCTGACAGCAGACCGCAATAAGACTCAGCGCAAAGTCTTGCGTTTGCTTACCGAGCAGATGCGTGGGGCTGCTGCGCTTTAGCACCTGAAGAGGACGGGGGAAATTAGTAACGTAGGGATTAAAGGAAGAGGGGGAGGGAGGGGGAAAGCTGAATGTTGAATGTCTCCTCCTCGCAGGTTTTCTCGGCGTCCACCCAGCACAAGGAGCCGGGCCGCCGCACAGCGCATCCATCCCCGCGCCCCGACTGCGGGCGCCCGGAGGAGCCCGAGGTGCGGCCGCACACGCGAGAGGGGCGGCGGGCGGGGAACCCCTCACAGTGCTGAGTCATTTAAGCCGGGAAAAGCCGGGCTGGAGTCAGACGCACACACACACACATTCATAAACATACAAATAAGCAGTCGGGCTTCCCCACGGCTCTGGCCGGCGAGCTGCCCCGCGCTCACGGCAACTTCCCCCGGTGCGCGGCTCGGCGGGTAGCGGAGCACTCACCAGGTAGGCTCCCACGGTACCCTGGGCCAGCATCAGCGCGCATTCGGACACCAGGAAGAGCTGGATGCTGGAGAAGCAGGACACCTTCCTCCGCCGCCTCCGCTGCCTCGCCGCGCCGGCCCCCGGCAGCTCTCCGCCGCCCGACGAGCCCCGCTTCCCCGGCATCCTCCTCCGGGCACCGCCGCGGGATGGCGGCCCCGCGGCTGCTCCGCGCCTTCCTCCTCTTCCTCCTCTCTCCGGGTGCCGCTCACAGCAGCAGCCCGCGGCTGCTGCCTCTCCGCCCGCGGGCTGCTGCCATGGCCAGCTCGCCGCCGCCGCCTCCTCCTCCTTCTCCTCCTCCTCCTCCCGCCGTCTCTCCTCCCCTCGCCGTGCCGCGCTCCCTCGCTCCACCAGCCCCGCGCAGGCCGGATCCGCGAGCCCCGCCGCCGAGAGGGGCGGGGGAAAGCACGGGGCTGGCGGAGGCTCCGCAGGAGGCGGAGCGGCTCCGTCCCGGGATACGCGCGGTCCGTTCCTCTGCGGCCACAGCCTTCGCTCAGCCGCGGTCCCGCAGCCCCCCAGAGCCGCCCCCAGCCCCAGGGTTCTGCTTTACTCTCAGCTCCCTCCTGGCTGTGTCCGTTGAGAAGCTCCTGCACGCGGACTAAAGGGCAAAGGGAGGACCTATAAATACTGCACGTTCGAAATAAATAAATAAACGAACGGTAACAGAGTCACAGAACATCGCGAACTGGAAGGGATTCACAAGGATCATCGAGGCCAATTCTCGGCTCCACACAGCAACACCCAAAACCCACAGGCTCCATATGAGAGCAATGTCCATGCACTCTTTGAACTCCTGGAGTTTTGAGCCGTGCTCGCTGCTCTGGGCTGCCTGTTCCACTCCTGCACAACCTCTCCCTAATCCCCACCTGACCCTGCCCCGACAGCCCCATGCCTTTCCCTAGATGTGGCTGTCACCAGAGAGATCAGTGCTGCTGCTCTGCCCCTCTGTGAGGTGGCTGTATGAGGGGACCAAAGGACCTCGGCTGCTCCTCACACACCTCCCCCTGCAGATCCTTCACCATCTACATCCATTCTGTAGATTCTCCTTAATAACTTTTATGTCCTTTTTGTGGCGCACAGTGCTCAAGGTGAGGCCATATCAGCACAAAACAGGAGATGTCATCTTGAAGCACCATAAGCACACGAACAAGCTTTTGCCCTGAGGCCAGTGCTTCATGTCCCCAGCCATGTGCCTTTCTGATGATGGCCTTCATTGTCACCCTCACCTCGAGTTCTAATTTCAAGAAGATATCTTCTTTTAAAAACCGCTAATCATCACTTCTACTATTACAGATTGCATTCCTTCTTGGCCTACCTGCAAAACCTGATCTGCTTTGCTCTTCAGGTGCACTTTTCCAGTTCATTTCTGGGTGTAGACTGGGGGCTGCGGCCACACATTTTCGTGCTGTTTCACTCTCAGCTAAGCAGCATTGAACCATATAGTACTGGGATGTTAGTGATCTTTAGAACAGTTTTCTGTGGAAACAGAGGCTAACTTTTTCAAAACACGATTTGGATCCTAAATTTCCTTTTCAAAGATGTTCTAGACTTCTGAACTCCTAAATACTGAGGAAGATGCCTGTGCAAATAGAACTCAGGAGCATCCTAATTCCTCCCAGCAGAAGTTAATCATCACCTGTCACACTGGGAAATCAAAAGCACTGACATTATAACGGAATTTTTGAGTGCCTCCTTCCAAAATGTTATCACTGTCTAGAGATTTCCATTTTGCTCTTCCTTTATTGGGGCACTTACAATAACCATGATGGTGAAAATTAATGTTGAACCACCTCCACCTGAGCTGGTGAACCTTTACCCAAGCCCAGAACTGCAAACCAGTGCTTGATAGACACATGAGAGACCTGGCACAATCAGCTGCTGCCCTTTGCTCATCAGCTGCCAACATCTTCCTCCCATGCTGAACTTTGCCTTGCTGCAACTTCTCAGGCACACCTGAGTCACATCAAAGACTGGAAAGGTCCCTAGGTAGAGAGATTTGGATATTAATTCTATTAACATAGTTAGATTCTATGATTCTGTAAGATGTGCTTTGCTCCAAATGGCCTCTATAGTGTTATAAGCAGGATGGATAACCCAACAGACTTTTTAATAGGTGAAAATAGAACAGTGTCTTTTAAAACACTTGAGGATTTAGAATTACGTCAGTGGAATTTGTACAGTTCCCTGCAAAAACAAAGGTTTGGAGTTTGCTGGTCTTGCCATTTAGCTTTTGGAGACAGAGCCAGCCTATGCCAGGTTGAGTTCTAAAGGCAGCAAAGCTGTGGGAACACACACATAACCCACCAAGTGCGTACCTGGCAACCCAAGTGAGCTGCTGCACATGCTACTATGCTTACCATGATTCAAGCTGGATGGTTTAGCAAGTGCCATCACACATCACAGTCACGTCTTACACATCCTGTCGTAAGACTTTGCCCAGGAAGCAGATACAGATACATCTTGTCTGGCAGAAAGAAAACAGCTGCTATAAAAATCTAACTTTAATACTAATTATCTGAAACATCTGGTTGGTTAGTTTATCGCAGCAGAATACGATTATCACTTAAATCGCTGTCCAGAGGAGACAGAATGCTTGGATTCTTTTTTCTCTCTTCTTTATTTTGTACACTTGCACTAATTTTCTTCAGAAAATTTCCTCCTGTGTTGCTCTGCTGGAAGAAAGAATGAAGGTCTCATGTCTCCAGCCAGGTGAGCTCAGCAGACCTGAGCTTGTCTCCTGCAGGCTTACATTCCTGAGAGATTTCAGTAGAGCGCTTCAGGAATGGATGAGTGAACTATTTGGATTTAATAGTTAATTATTGTCATACCCAAACAGTTTTTCTGGCCTAAATTGACCCAGCTAATGTACGGAATGCTAATGTTCATGGATTATCATTAGCATAGAAAGGACTTTGTAACTAAAATAGTCCCTTTTTCTTGGGGCTTAATAGTTTTGCCAACACAATTCTCAGCTATTTCCACAACCATCTTTTCCCCCCATGATGAGCTGTATTACATTTCTTGCAGTTACCCTGTCAGATTTTTATAAACACTTGAACATTTGTAGCTGGGAGGCAGCGTGTTGTCAGAGATAAGGTTGGACACCACAATCTTAATCGTGTCGGCTCCCCTGAAACAGTATTATTACATCTTGTTTGCTGGATGTCTCTATGCTGAGTCCTTGTGGGCTTCTGTCAACTTTCACCTTTGGGTAACCTTAGCAGCTGGAGCTTTCTTGATCTGTCTAAAGCATTCTTTTGCTTTAGTTCACTGGGCCGATGATGAAACCATCAGCAGTGTTGGTATCAGGAGGAGGAACAGCACCTCAGTCCTGCTAATGAGGACCTCATCCAGCTCAGCCATCCTGGAGCAGAGATGGACACCCCTTGTGTCTGTCCTCACTGAGGATGCCACAGGGAAAAGGACAGGCAGGAGGAGAAGATGATGGTCTCATAGTAGATGTATCAGCTCTGTAGTCTGCATTAAAAAACTCCAACATGAAGCACTGCTGCAATCTTAAACAGGGTTTAAGGTTCGTGTACTACCAAAGTGGATTACACGTAGCATAAATCGTGTCTCCTCAGCATCAGATTGGCACTGCTGGTCAGTTCTACTTCATGCATTTGTCTGAAGGAAGTCTTGCATGCAGAAGAAGTGAGGAATAATGTCAGATACAGTTAAAGAGAATGGAAGAACACGTAAATAAACACAGAACACCAAGATGCCAGCCAAAATGTCTTGAAGTTCTGTTCTGTAATTTTCCAGTGTGAAATCTTGTGGGTCAGGTGGTGCAGGAGGGGGAGGGCAAGAAAGGATTTCAATGGTCTGTGGGGTTAGAATGGGGGTATGAATATGTGCATCAGCCAAGTGTGTATAGCAGGAGGGAGGGATGAGGTTGGTACAGCATCTCAATGGCTCAGCAGTCTTCATTTCCAAGATCCCGCGATGCCAGCAGTTTTAATGCAGTTTCTTTCTATAAACACTTCTGACTTTACTGCCTTGCTATTTTGAGTCCTGCTGGAGATTTGGATTCATTAAAGAGGCATTTCCTTCAGAGAAGCTGATTAGATAGCTGTTTCTTCTCCTAGATGCTGAAGAGCTGGAGAACACCTCAGTGAGGCAAAAAAAGGGCAGGAAATTAAGACACATTACTTTAACAAGAGGTGCTGGTTCACCCTCAAATCTCCCACTATTAAAACAGTTAACAGAGGAGATTTGTAAATGAGAACTGGATGGCTTGTTTGCAACCTACATTGCATAAACCTGGCTCCTAACCTCTAATTATGGTTTTCCTAAAGAAATGAGACTCAGCTCTGAAGGGAGCTGAGCAATCTCTTATGGCATTGACTCCATGAGACCCGAGGGCATGCGGCTCTTTTACAGGGAAGCTGAGCATCCTGAGATCGTGGTCTAAATGGGAATCAGAATGCCTTTTGGATTAAAGCAATGTGATTTAGCAAACACACTATAATTGTGAAGTACAAATATTGACATCAGCCTGATGCTGAAAGTTAATTTGCAGAATCAGGAACTGAAAAGCAAACTGGAGAATAGACTGCCACTTTGGTGACTGTTAATGAGCATCTCTCAAGGAAGTGATTGTCCAAACTAGGTGTCATTTAATTAAAAAAAAAACCTGTCCAATGTCTTTTTTGTAAGGGTGAGATTTTGGATCTCTAATTCTAGAAGATTTTTCTATTTAGTCAATTAACTATAATTTAAAAACAGAGGAGTTCACAGCTACCAATGATACATGGCACTTCTGCTCAGCTCTGAGCATTAGTCTTAGAGTGTCAGCCCAAGGTTCATCCCCAGCATTTCATTTTGGCTGCTTATTTTTCTTTCTGTGTGTGTTTGCTTTGTTAACAGGGCACAATGTGGTTCTTTCCCTGTGCTGGATGTTGTCAAACAACAACCACTTTCCACCTCGTAAGTGACTTCCTTTAATGGCAAAATGCAGCAGAGCTTTCTGTGCAAATAAAGTGCTTTGAACCATGCAGGCTGCAAGTATTTTAAAGCAACTGGAGTTCCAAGCAGACGCTAACCAGTTGTGCCTTTTACACTTTTTGCTAGATAATAATTTGAAGGATCCAATACTTGTAAATCACATTGGCTCTCTAATAAAGAAATTATTTATAGAGATACTCAATGCATCTTGAAATCTAGCCATGTGTGCACAGACTGGCTTCCTGTCGAGCCTCTTATTTACTG